AGGCTTAATCAACTGAGACACCCAGGAACCCTGAGGGATGAGTATTTTATTTTATTTTATTAATGTTTATTTATTTTTGAAGGGGAGAAAGAGAGAGACAGAGCATAAGTGGGGGAGGGGCAGAGAGAGAAAGAGCGACACAGAATCCAAAGCAGGCTCCAGGCTCTGAGTCAACACAGAGCCTGGTATGGGGCTCGAACCCACGGACCACAAGATCATGAGCTGAGCCGAAGTCAGACGGGTAACTGATTACACCATCCAGGTGTCCTGAATGAGCATTTTAAATGTTAGAATGCTATTACCCAAATAGCTATAGTCCTCAACTGCTTTGCACTTTCAAGGTCAATCTCTTTGTTTCGGGGTTGATTTCACACGAAGTCTGGAACTGAACACTATGTTACAGCATCAGAACAAAGATGCTCCAAGGATGCTCACAGTTCCTTCCTATGATTCGCACAGCTGGTGCGTACTGAACCGTCTCTGCACTCTTCATGGGCTCCCTTATTTCATCCTCAAGTCGCTGACCCTTTGAGGCAGGTACTCCCAGAACACCAATGCCAGACCGAAGTCCTGACCGAGCCTGGAAGGTAACTAAGCGGCCCTTGCCGGGTTCCAGGCCAGTGTCGGCCGCACTCCCTCGGTGGCTGTTCAGATTCTGGGTAAGCAAAGGACCCACAGGATCTACACCCACCTCCTCGGATGGAGGCTTCTTCAAAGGCACATTCGTAGTTGACTACTATGAATCCATTAGGAAATTTCCCACACAGAAAAGCCAATACGTGGGTGACGCTCTAGTGGGTCAAAGTACCCATTCAGAGCTTTGTCTGGAAGCTGGTGAAAGACTCCTTACGAGCTGCCGCAGAAGAGACAGAAATCTGGGAAGGCGTCCTCATCAGCACTGTTAAAAACAGAAGGAACCTAGGCAAACTTTGCTTTGGTGCCATGGGCCTGTGCATTTCACTCTATGCCCTGGGCCATCTCCTTGACTGGGGACAGGAAGACACTGACACCGGGTGCCTTCTGAGGCGGAGCTCTCTTACAGGTCTCTAGGGTTGTCATGATAGATGCTGACTTTAACAACAGCCCCAGGCCTCAGGCCTTCAGGAGTGTGACTGCGACTGTGGTCCGCCTGGTGTTTTTTCCTTGACACTTTTTACAGAGGGAAAAAAATGTGTGACTTTTCCTGATGAGCAAACAGCCAAAGGTGTTTGGAAAGGTCTATCATTTTTCTGGTGACAAGACACCCTAAACTAAATTCATTAGCAGCTCTCCTGTTTGGAATTTCAAAATATTCTCTGACCTACATAAATTCCTTGTTACGTCCTCTACTAATTTAAGAAGATTAGCCGCCAAACGCTGGGGCTCCAGATCAAAGCTGTATAACGCACGGTATAACGCACAGGGGCTTGGAGACCATCCCACGCTGGAAGACATCGACACCCATGCTCTGGCCCCTGCTTCTCTTCCTAAGATCTTTCTTCATGTCTAGAGTTGTGCGAAAAGTGGATAGTAGATACCGCTTTCTAGACACAAGACTAGTCCCTAGTTCTGCATGTATCTGTCATGTATTTGTGTTTCTATATTTTCCTGTCTTTTGGAAAGATACTAAAGGAATACCAGGACAGAAGTTTGGCTCTGTTTTATGAGCAACTAACTGTAATGAGTTACAAGGGCAAATGCTGAGCTGGTGACCACCAACTCAAATAAATCAGTTCCCTTCTCTGCTTCTCAGTCTTCCTCCCCGAAAGAAACAGGACACCCATTGGTTCGTCCGGTGGACAAATATTTATTGAGCTTTGTGTGTGCTTTGTGCAGGATGCTAGAGCTACAGTGGTAAACAAAAATATATAAGGTTCCTGCTCTTATGGAATTTAGGTATCAGTGGATATTAAAACCTTGCAAGGACAAACACTGTACCAGTCAAAAGCAATATACATATTTGCTTATGGAAATATTCTTTTTTCCCCGTCTCTAAAACCAATGCTCCTGCATGTCTACACTATGCACTGGCCCTTAAAGCTTGATGACACTTCTAACAGCAATGAACTGTCACCTCCTCAAGGACAAACACACAGCTTTAGAATTTGCATGTTCCTAATGCTCAGGATGGTGCGGTGGCTGCCTCTGAGCCCTGAACATGGCCTTAGGCCATTCCCTAGACTTTTTCCTTGCTTAAATGGTCTTTTAGCCAAGCCAGGCCTTTGTAGGTGTTGACTATATGATCACTATGATAATAAAACTGGTAGTTTCCTACCACAACTAATGATGGGTGAATCTGCAAAGATACCGTTGTTAATATTAATGATGTGAACAATTCAGTCCTGAGTGTGTAGACATTCGGGACACTGCATTTCGTGTTCATTAAACCTCAACTGGGGACTAATGATTTCCCTCCCTAGTTTACACCCATGATTAGCCCCTGAAATCTGAATTAGGCCATTTTGGTTGATTTCCTTTGGCGTAGGCTTAGATTTAGCTCACTGATTATGAAAGAAGCCATCCTGTCTTCACTCTTGGTTTCGATTATGGTAATTTCTGGCCCTTCTCTTGGCTCTGAACTCACACAAATGCTCCATGCCCTTGAATAACTGCAAGTTTACTATTTAGGAAGCCTGGGGATTGTCATGAATAACCGACAGCCATCCTCATTGCAGACTGAGATCTACTAATTAGTATCAGGTCCAGGCAAAGGCGCCCCCGTGGGAGGGCCCCAGCGCTGACTGGGCACCAGAGTGTAGTCAGCTCTGGTGAGTCAAGCCCTGGGCACTGTATGGGAGTGTGTGAAGTGTCATTAAAGGAAGCCTCAGCTCTTGCCAGCAGTCTTTCTTCCTTTCACCATGACCTATGTCCCCAACCCGCCTCCACTCAAAGGGGCAGAACAGAGGACTGGATAAAGACAAGCAAAACCTCAGGCTGGCCATTCCAGGAGTGGCTTGAGAGACACAGAAGAGAAAGAGAGGGAGGTGTGGTGGGCACGCTTCCCGCTTCTCCTATCCAGTCTTTCAACTGCTTTCTGAGGACTAGGTCCCTTCCCTTTCAACAGTATTCCTTTAAATTAAACTTTGAGGACAAAGGGTATTGAACACCTTAAAAAGTAGGATGCCCTAAATTTAGAGTCTCAATTCTGAACTCTCGAATCTTGAAAGCCACTCATTTGACTACTCGTATTTACTAAACAGATGGTCATTGAATAGCTACCATGTGCAAAGCACTGGGAATACAATGTAAGCGCTTTGGGTCTCCATCTTGGAGGAGCTTATAATCTCGAGTGAAGGTAAGAGATTATCACAATCATGTTTTGGAAGGTCCATGCCACATGGCCTGTAATGTGTTATGGGAACACAGAGGAGGCCACTTACGTTGCAGCTAAGACCTGAGGGACATAGAAGTAAGCAATGAGGATAGGACATGGATATTCCATTTACCTTTCTATCACTGTGATTTGCAACTTTGGGGGGGTATCAGAAAAAAGACAGGTGGATTTGAAGGTGGGCTGAGTGTATTCCCTGAGTATGACCTACCAAAGGCTGGCTCAGAGTGGTCCTCGAGGCTCAGAGAAAACCAAGGTTAATATCAGATAGGAGCAGATTGCTATGTATACCACAGAACCCCTGACTTTGGGATCGGAATTCAAGACACATTAAAGGTATTTTCTGGTTTCCTTTCCTTGAGTCAGCAAATTAGAGGCCAGAGGAGAAAAAAGGAAGAGTTACTAGCTCTGAAAACATGAGTGCTAAAGATTTCATGTTTGGTTACTAGTTTTAAAAAATAGTGCAATCTCGTTTATATAACACAATTACTTATAATCTCGCTTGCTTAAAACAAATTGGAGTGATGTCTTCTAGGAAGATGCAAGAGTGTCATTGCAGAGAAACTACGGATTTGTTGCGGCAGGTTGGGGGTTGAGGGGACATTGGAAACAGCAGATGTGGCACTGATCTTTGGCCCTTGATTGAGATTTGAGGAGGGGGTGGCTCCAGGTCTGGTCGAAGAGGATGGACAAGACATTACAAGTCAATGGAAAGCGCAAGATACCCTTGGCCACGTGCGGGAACAGAACGGAGGACCAAGCTGGGTGGCCCACACATGGACAAGGACACTGAGGGCACGCTGGGCAGGACGAATGGCTCTGAAGTGCCCCTAACCTCCTATGCCTTCAAGTACAATCACACGACTCTGTTTTATATCCTAGCTTTGCGACTATAGCATTTATTTCGGCTCTTATGAAAATAACATCACGAAGTAAAGGAAACAGAATTTAGGGACTTTGACAGGATTGTTCTTTTTTTATTTTTATTTTATTTATTTTTTAAAATATTTTTATTTATTTCTAGGAGAGAGAGGGAGAGAGAGACAGCATGAGCAGGGGAGGGTCAGAGAGAGAGAGGGAGACACAGACTCTGAAACAGGCTCCAGGCTCCGAGCTGGCAGTCAGCACAGAGCCCGACGCGAGGCTCGAACCCACGAACCGCGAGATCATGACCTAAGCGAAAGTCAGACGCTTAACCGACTAAGCCACCCAGGTGCCCCAAGATTGTTCTTTTTTTAAACTGCTTTCTCATTCTATTAGCATCTAGAATGCAGGAAAATCAAATTAAAATAGTAATTTTTTAAAAAAAAATTCTACAGAAATGTTCAACCATACATAAGAGTGGAGAACAAAATACAACGTACCCTTTTATAGGCCACCTGAGTTGTCTCTATAACCTACCCCACCACCTAAACACAATTTTTGTTTGGCTTTATTGCAATAGTTGAAAGCAAATTCTAGGCATCATTTCATTTTATCCCTAAATATTTCAGGAGGTAGACCTATCAAAGAATAACTTCTTCAAAAACATAACCACAGGGGTGTCTCCCTGGGTGGCTCAGTCGGTTAAGCGTCCGGCTTCGGCTCAGGTCATGATCTCATGGTTTGTGGGTTCGAGCCTGCTTCAGATTCTGTGTCTCTCTTTCTCTCTACTCCTCTTTCTCGCACTCTGTCTCTCTATCAAAAATAAACATTAAAAAAACCACGTAACCATAATGCCATTATCATGTGAGGTAATACCCAGAACATATAAAATTATTCCTAAGTAGCTCCAACAATATTTTTATAGTTGTCTCCTTCAAACTGGGATCCAAACATCATGTTTGACTGAAAGAACTCTTAAGTCTCTTTTACTCTGTAATCTACTCCCCTCCCTGTTTTCATGCCGTTTACTTGAGGAAGGGGAGAAATGAGTCACTGTCCTGTGTAATGTCCTACCTTCTGGACTTGGCTGACGGTTTCCTCCTCATGTCGTCCAGGCTGGATTAGATTCACAGATGCTGTGTACTTTCTGACGTGTTCCATCACGAGGTACGTGGTGTCTGACTGTCCCACGTTTAGAGATGTAAAGAGTGATCCGCGGGTTCAGGCGTTATCAGCATGGCCCATCCAAAGTTCCCTGTCAACCTTTCACCTAATACTTATGGACGGTGGCTGCCTGAATTCTTCAGTTCATCATGTGCTCCAGCATGGTCGTTTTCTAGCCGTACCATTCCTTCTGTCTTTATTAGCTGGAATTCTTCTATAACGAACTCCTTGTTATCTCTTTGGTTGCTCTGAAATACAGTTCATACCGAAAAAGGCAAGATAAGTGTTTGGTTATTTCCCTTGATCCACTCTTAACTCAATTTAGCCCTTTGTAGACATTGTTTCCGAAGGCTCAAATTGTCCCCCTCCTTGGCCAGTGAGGTCTCCCCTAGTCTGCTTCTGTGTTGTTCTGACCTGACCCCAGCAGGACTCGATACTTCCCTTGCTTTTGAGAACAAGTGTCTTCAACTTCTTTCTGATGAATTAACCAGACTTGGAAAATCCTTATGCACCCACCCCCACTACCGTTTGCTTGCCTGTCCACAATAAGGAATGTGCCCTAGTTGTATTGGTCAGGAAGGCTTTCCGCTCTAAGGGAGCATAATGAACAGTGAGAGTTTGCAATTTTTTCATAGAACACGATGTCTGGAGCAGGCAGCTGTTAGCATTTGTTCAGCAGCTCCTGAGGTCCAGAGCCAGCATTGCTGTGATTCTCTTGGCCTCTCCTTCCTGGTGGCAAGATGGCGGCTCCTGTTCTGGGCATTATGCCCAGCTGGGGCAGGAAGAAAGGGGAAGACCAGAGCCAGCTGCAGCTGTCCCTCTGTATCAGAGAAGCAAAAGCTTTCCCCAAACCGCCACCCCACCCCACTCCCACCCAGCTGAATTTGACTACGATCTCATTGGCCAGATGGGATTGGATGGACACCCTACTTGCAAGGGAGGCCGGGAAAGCGAGCCCTTAGTTTTGTCGGGTTCCATGGTCCAAGCAAGGGAGTGGGGGGCTGGGAGTGAAGACAGGGCTATGAGATCTGGGGGGCGGTCTTGAGTCCTGAATCAACATTCCCAATCCTGGTTTTTGTTTTTAATCCTTATGAAATGTCTAATATTCCTTGGTTTTGAAGTAGGTGGGACAACTGAAAATAACCGTGAGCTGGAAATGAGTGGGGCTTTATTGAGAAGATTGCCCTCTGGAAAGAGTACCAGCTGTCTGGACAGCCATGTCCTGGTGGCTCGGCTCAGCCCTGTTCAGTTATGAGATGCCAACTCCCATTGCAGGGTCTGCGCTCCAAGGGTCCCTCCTCTTCCCTTCTGCAAGGAGACAGAGCAGTCTTACTTTCATCAAGACAGACACCTCATTTGAGCGGCAATGACCCATACGATGCCAGAATACCTCGTGGCTACAGTTTCACAGAGGCCACTCAACCTTCACCCTGTTAAGCAAAGAGCAGAGCTAACAGCAGCCAGCACTCGACTGACACCAAAACCCTGAGTGTATTCTGCATGGACTGACACACAGCCATTGCCTGGAGCCTCCCTGTCCTGTGGCCGGGCCACCCTGGCTCCTCTCTGAGGAACCCATCCCGCCTGCCCATGACCTCCTTATAATCCAGCAACTGAAGGCTGAGGCCTGGTCTAGCAGGGACCCTAAGACCCTACTCCCATCAGCACTAGGCCATCCATTCTCTGTCCATACTTTTATGGGTGTTTATTTTTTTTTACTGGGACACCTGGGTGGCTCAGCAGTTAAGCGTCCGGCTCTTGGTGTCGACTCAGGTCCCCGTCACATGGTTTGTGAGATGGAGCCCCTCAACGGGTTCTGTGCTGATAGTGTGGAGACTGCTTGGGATTCTCTCTTTCTCTCCCTTTGCCCCTCCCCCATCACATGATCTTTCTCTCTCTCTCTCTCTCAAATAAAGCCTGTTTCACAAACTAAAAATATAAAAAATATTTTTACTATCTTCCATGAGAAAGAACATTGTTACTATTCCTACTAGTCATTTTTCTGGACTGACCATGGCTGAAGGGCAAATGGGTAGTTAGTGATAACTAACTCAAGGAATGGAAGTGGATAATTCCATCACTGACAATCCTGATTTCAAGGCTAATAAGTCTTGTGTTAGAAAATCTGAGTTGTTCTGATACTAGTTTTATTTTGTCTTTACCATTCATGCTGCAAGCAAACGAAGCCAGACACGAAAGAAGACACTCTATATGAGTCCATTTTAAGGGAAGTTGAAGAAGAGACAACACTATCTGAGGTCATGAGTGGTTACCCCTGGGGGGAAACCCCGACAGGGAAAGGGCACAAGGACCTCTGGGATGCTGGTTTTGTTCTTTTCAATATCTAGGTGTTGAAACTGCTAGTCACTAACCCAATATCCATCCTCCTTTCTCCTTTCTGTCAGAACCTGATTTCCTTGTGGGTATGCGGGTGGCACGTGAGGAGCTGAAAAACCACACTTCCCAGCCTCCTTTGTAACTAGGGCTGGTCATATGACACACTCATGGCCAATGAGATACATGTGAAAATCCACGGGACTTCCAAGGAATCTCCTTTGGGCAGACAGGCTCTGTGCGCCCCCACCCAGAACTCCTCCCAGCATGCATCTCAGCCTTGCTCATCCCAAATGTCCATTCACGCACTCTTCTGTACCCCCCCCCCCAAGTCACTGGTTCTGTGGTTTGGTTCACTTACTCAACAAATACTTACTGAGCACTCACAGCAAGTTGGGCATGTGCTGATCAGGTGTTACAGATTCAGATGTCCCACAGCCAGGCCTGTAATTAGAGATGTAGGCCTGGGGTGCAGGACAAGGGCAGGTGAAGGAGGACCAAGGCCCTGGCTAACCATGAGGGTGGGGAGAGCCGCCGCTCAGCTCTAGCAGGTGGCTTGACATGTGAGAAATTCAAATCTCGAGTTGCAAGATCTTCTCATTTTTCAAGAGGGGTCAGAAATCTTGGTTTTATTATTGAAAATTAACTCTGCCACGAGGCTGGACTTCTAGCTATGGCAGAGCAGAATTGGACAAAGCTGTCATATTAGTTTTCTATTGCCATGTAACACATTTTCACAAACTTAGCAGCTCGAGCAACACGTATTTGTTAACTCACCATTCTCGTAGCTCAGAGGTCCAGGCAGCCTCAACAGGGCTCTCTGGCTCAGTGTATTACACAGCTCAAATCAAGGCATTCGCTGGACCAGGCTCCTAACTAGAGGCTTTGGAAAAGAGTCCACGTCCAAGCTCATTGAGGCCAAAGTCATCACATTTGCCCAATGAACATAAACAAGGAAATCAAATCCAGCGGCGTGAGACAATGACCAGGTAGAATTTACCTTAGGATGCAAAGTTGTTTTGGCATCTGAAAATTAATATAACATGTTATATTAATATAATAGACAAAACCGACATGGTCACATCAACACATGCAGAAAAGCATTTGACAAAATTCAACACCCATTCACGATGAACCTCTTTGCAAACTCTGAATGTAAGGGAATTTCTTCAAACAGATCAAAAAGCACCTAAGAAAAACCTATAGCAAATATCATACTTAGTAGTAGAAGACTAAAAATGTTTTTGAGAACAAAGCAAGAATCTCTACTCTCACCACCTCTTTTTTAAAAAAAATACAAAAAAATATTTGTATTTAATCTCTACACCCAACACGGGGCTCAAACTTACAAACCTGGGATCAAGAGCCGCAGGCTCCACCGACTGAGACAGTCAGGTGCCCCAAGGAACTAACCACTTGTATTTGCAGATGACATGATCCTGTATCTGAAAAATACTGGTGAATCCGAAAACACCACCCAGAACTAATAAACGAGAATGCCACAGGATATAAAAATCAGTATTTCTATATATTGATAATGAACAAGCTATAAAGAAAATAATACAATTCATAATAGCACTAAGAATGAAAATACTTAGAAATAAAGGTAACAAAAGATGCGTAAACTACAAAACACTGCTGACAGAAATTTTAAAAGATCTAAATAAATGGGGAGATATACCATGTTCATGAATTGTTAAGATTCATTACTGCTAAGGTGGCAATTCTCCCAAAATTGATCCATATATATAACTCAACTCCAATAAAAATCCCATCCTCAAAAAAAAATTCTTTTGGTAGAAATTGACAAGATGATCCTAACGCTTACATGGAAATGCAAGGTACCTCAAATAACAAAAACAATTTGGAAAAGAACAATATAGTTGGAGTCCTTAGTCTGCCCCATTTTCAAAACTTACTATAACATAGGGGCGCCTAGGTGGCTCAGTCGTTTAAGCATCTAACTCTTGATTTTGGCTCAGGTCATGATCTCATGGGATTTGTAAGCTTGAGCACCACATCGGACTCTGAACTAGCAGAACAGAGCCTGCTTCAGATTCTTTCTCTCTCTAAATAAATAAACAAACTTAAAAAAAAAAAAACCCAATAGTCAATATATTACTATGTCACAGTAATGTAAAGACAGACACGTAGACCAATGGAAATGAATAGGAAGTCCAGAAAATGCTTATATTTATGGTAAATTGATTTTCAATGAAGGTGTCAAGGCAATTCAATTGGAAAATGATACTCTTACAAATGGTTCAGGGGTAACTGACTACCCATATGCAAAAAATCCCAAAAACAAATTAATTGATTAAAATACATAGATCCTTACTTTATACCATGTATAAAAATAAGTCAAATTGGATAATAGACTAACATGTCAAACTAAAGCTATAAACTTGAAAACACAGCAAACGTCTTTGACTTTGGCTTAGGCAAAAATTTCTTAGATATACCCAAAAACAAGATTCATGAAAGAAAAATTTGATAAATTGCTGTGGCACATCTAAGTATCATTAAAAATATGAAAAGACAAGCCACAGCCTGGGAGGAAATATTTGCAAGTCGCATATCTAATCAAAGAGTTGTATCTGAAATATAAAAAAAAATCCTATAACTCATGAAGACAACCCAATTAAAAATGGGCAAAAAATTTGAATAGATCTTTCACTAACAAAGATATATGGGGGCATCTGGGTGGCTCAGTGGGTTGAGACTTTGGCTCAGGGCATGATCTCACGGTTCGTGGGTCCCAGCCCTGCATTGGGCTCTGTGCTGACAGCTCAGAGCCTGGAGCCTGCTTCAGATTCTGTGTCTCCCTCTCTCTCTGACCCTCCTTGGCTCATGCTCTGTCTCTCTCTCTCTCAAAAGTAAATAAACAGTAAAAAATTAAAAAAAAAGATATATGAATGGCTGAAAAGTGCACAAAAAGATGATCAACATCATTAGTTACCAGAGAAATGCAAATTAAAATCAGAGTGAGATACTTCTGCACTTTCATTATAATAGTAATAACCTAAGAGTTAAATAATGCCAAGTGTCGCCAAGCATGTGGAGAAACTAGAACCCTCATATATTCCTGATGAGAATATAAAATAGTAAGTCACTTTAGAAAATAATTTGTCAGTTCTTTAAAGTGTTAAAGAGTTATGACATGACCCAACAATTTCACCCAGCAATACACCCTAGAGAAATGAAAACATCTCCCCATGTAGGGTTTATATAATTATGCGTAGCAGCATTATCCACAATAGCAAAAGTTTGGAAATAAATATAGTTTATCTGTATGATGGAATAGTATTCAGCAATAAAAAGGAATGAACTGACACAATTACATGAACTACAACATGGATAAACCTTATGCTAAGTGAAAGGAGCAGACACCAAAGGCTACACATTGTATTATTCCATTTATATAACATTTCTAGAAAGGCAAATCTACAGACATAGAAGACAAATTACTGGTTACTGCGGACTCGAAATTGGAGTGTGACTGACTGTATATGCAAATGAGAAGACTTTGGGGGAGAGATGGGAATATTTGAGAAGTGGGTTAAGGTGATGGCTGCATAATTTTATAAATTTACTAAAAATCATTGAATTTACCGTGTAGTCTGAGTGAACTTTATGATGTGCAGATTAGACCTCAATAAAGTGGTCAACATAAAAATTAAGTCTCCCAAGTTTAAATGTTCACAACTGATTCAAATTATTTGGGGGGGGCAGCTGTGCTGTCAGCACAGAGCCTGATGGTGAGGCTTGATCCCATAGTGAGATCATTATCTGAGCTGAAGTCAAGAGTTGGACACTTTTTTTTTAATAGTTTATTGTCAAGTTGGTTTCCATATAACACCCAGTGCTCATCCCCACAAGTGCCCTCCTCCATGCCCATCACCCCCCTCCCCCTCCCCCCACCCCATCTGCACTCAGTTTGTTCTCGGCATTCAAGAGTCTCTCATGGTTTGCCTCCCTCCCAAGAGTTGGCCACTTAACTGATTGAGCCACCCAGGTGCCTCACACATTAATTCAAATTCTTAAAAGACCTTTGTAAGAAAATATATCCCACGTCTGTGGCGTGAGCCCTTGGATCACCCACTTGAAATGTCCCACTTGGGCCAAGTGGCAGGAATAGAAATTTGAATGAAATAAAATCCTTTCCTTCTAGGAGCTAAAGATTCAACAACGGAAAATAGAAAAGTAAACAATTACAACACCCAATGATACATGCCGTAGGTGGAATTTGCAAAGAGGTATGGGCCCCGAGAATCCGTGGCTCTGAATGGGCGGGGGCAGGGCCACCACAGAGGAGGCTGGACAGTGCTGTTAGGTTTTGAAGCATAAGAAGGAATTCACGAGATTCCAAGTGTGGAAAGTGGAGAAAAGGGGTGAATGACATTTGCATGCAGCAGGAATGGCAAAGTCTTGGAGGTGTGCAGAAGCAGTTCCCTTTGCAAACTGGGGAGGATGGAGATGTGGCATACACGGAGAATGGGCACAGCAGGAAAGGAAGGGGAGCCCCATCACGAAGGGTTTGGCAAGCCACGTTAAAGTTTTTGGACACGGGAGGAAGAAGGGACTTCCTAGCTGGAGGAACATGGGCACATTTCTTTTGGCCACATTTCTTCTGGCCTAACTTAAATTTCGTATAGCTTGGCAACATCCTATTGCACTCATTTAAAAATATTCATTAATATACCGCTTACTGTGTACCAGGCGCGGTTTTAATACTTCAAATAAACTCCAGTGTTTCTCAAACTCCAACTTGCATCGGAATCCCCTGCAAGTCTTCCTGAAGACACAGAAACCACAGTTTTTGATTTGGTACATCTGGAGTGGAGCCTGAGAATTTGCATTTTGATTCAGTTCCCGGTACAAGCCGATACTGCTGGTCCAGGGAACACAATTTGAGAACCACTGCTTCATACCAATTTTGTAAGAAAGGTATCGTTATCGCTACCCATCCCCACATTGCAGAGGAGAGCAATCAGAAGGTTAAGCAAGCTGCCCGAAGCAGCTTATAGTATTAAGTGGTGGGGCTGGCATTCAATGCCAGGCCATGAATGCCATGTCTCCTGGTTCACAGGATGCAAACAAGCAGAGTCAAGGGCTGGCATTTTCAATCTCTGTTTGCAACTATCAGAAATATGTTATACACACCCTGCACATTGGCCTTAACTGTCATCGGAGATAAAGGAGTTAAACATGCCAAGCAATGCCAAGGGAGCGGTGAGGGAAAGTATTTGAGGAACACTGTAGGCCATTCCAATGAAGTATTACTTTGGTCCCTACAGGGATGAAGCCAGGATGTAGAAAGGCACAAATATCAATGTTCAAAATGACTAAATATGGGAAGGAAAATCTTTAAATATCATATCACAACTCAAAATTGAACTGTGCATGGGTATTCAATATCTGCTGTTTTAAGTGTATCTGTTTTAAATTTTTTACAAATTACAAAAACGAAACAATATCTATAGAAGATAATGTGCTGCGTTTGCAGGGGGGCAGCGGGGAATGTCCCCCGATGAAAATGGCAATCCTTTCGTGACTCTGCTTGCTTTTCGCATCTTGATCTAATTTATAGCATCTCCCTGGTTGCCTTCCAGTAAACAACTTCTTCCTTAAATTGGTGGCATTATGTTATGTGTGAGATCTGAATCACAAAGACTGTAATCCAAACCTGCCTGCTCCATCTTGTCGTTTTTGTAGAGTGCTGTATATCTAATTAAAGCTTCTTACGGGTCCATAAAAAGACCTAACAGTGAAAAAGCAGACTGTGTTGGAGTAAGCCCCGGGGGGCAGAGTGGAGGAGGGGCTTCTTCATTAACAATCCGCATATTTCCCTTAAATTCAAAGTTAAGTAATCATGTGTTAATTTGTGTTTGTATATTTTTAACTATTGCCTAAGCATAATCAGATCACATTACCACATTTACGGCATGGAACCAAAAATGGGTCATGTTCTAGCCAGCAGCTCTCCGGATTCCCAAGAAACATGGGGGATGAATAAATGATTTGCCACGTGGCCAGCACTGACTGCATCCTTGACTTTATTCAAATCAGTGTATTATTCTGTTCTTTTCTATTTACTGTTTTGCTATTCTTATTTCCTTGTTACACTTGTAGGTTTATTCGAAACTTGAGTTACACAGCAACAACATAAATACTGTGGCAGAGGCCATCACCACTGGAATTCCCTTGGGAAACCATTAGTGTTCGTGATTCCCCCCGCCCCCCCCACCGCACCTCTACAGGGCTCCCTAAATAGGGTATCTCCCTGAGGGGAAAAGTGCATGGTTTTCCAACTTTCCAGTAACAAAGGACCCAATTTCACAAATCAAGTGAGTATCTATTGCTTAACATACAGTTAGAGTGACAATGTCAGAGTCAAAGTAAGACTTTTCTTTTATGTTCTTTCTAAATCAATGATCCCACAGTTGGGGCTTTCACCCCGCCTTGAGGAGCAGAGGCCCAGCCTGAGGCCTAGGGCCCGAGGCTTTCGCCAGCCAATGGTCCATTACCCCACACTAGAGCATTAGAGTAAATGAGAGTCCTCCTTTAACAGAAAACCTTATGTTATTTCCCTGAGCATTTGCACCCCAGCAATCCTCTGACTTCTCAATCATCTTCAGATATGCAAAAGCGATGCTGTAGAGTCTGAAAATAAAAATAAAAAACAAAAAACCATCTCTGACATTTGCAGGACAAGGAGACACTTGCTGAAGCCATCTAGAGTTCTCTTCTGCATTCAGTCAATTCAATCAAATTTGGAGCATCAAAGCAGCTTTTAAATATGTATTCATTCATTCATTCATGTGTTCCTCACTGGATGTCTTTTTTGGGAAAGGTGGAAAGGAGAAACAGAAAGTGAGAAGCAGGTTGGAGAAACCTGGCATCTGGCCTGTTGGCTCTCTTTAGGAACCTCAGGGACGAGCTTGCAAGGGTGCGCGTCAGGAGACCCTCCCCCCAGCACCCTCTCCAGCCTTGGCCAAGTTCCCTTCGTGAGCCACCTGGCTGGGTGACCATGCCTCTTAATCATCTAGTGCCATGGTTAATACCTGCTGATTAATCCCAGACTTCATGTGCCTTAATATATTCACGACCTTTTTGCCTTTCCACGCGGTAGACAGTGGAGGCAGCGGATGGGGTCAGGACAGGGTCTCCGGTTCACCTTGAGCCAACGCTGCACTCTGATGGTGGCCTTCTCTACTTATGTTTAAACAGCCATAAAATCAACAAAATTCCTTCAAATTGGGTTCCCAGAAAAAAAACTGTAGACAAAAAAGTATGCATATGGGTACATATACATATGATATATATTTAATTTTTTCTCTCTGTTTGCTTAAACTTGGGAGGGAGATGCGGTGAACCTTCAAAGGGGTAAAGTACGTGCCGCTCTCGGCCCCCCCCCCGGCTAAGGACGCAGTCAGGTGCGCACGCAGTCCCTTCCCTCCGATTTCCCCGACAGCTCGCGCTACTTTTCTGGGCCATTATCCCGTGTCCCTGGAGCTTCTTCCTTCACCGTACCCCCTCCTAGGGGGCCTCGCCCGCTTCCCACCGCCGGCCACAGCCCGCACTCGCAGGGGTCGAGACGCCGTCAGGACGCCCTCCAGCCGACCGCACGCCCGAGCCCGCAGGTGCTCCCGGCCCCGCCCTTCCCGCGGCCCCGCCCCGGCGCTGCGTCACAGTGACGCGCCTCCCGCGCAGGCGCAGCTCGGCCCCACCCCCCTCCCCGCGCCCGGCCGCCCGCTCGGTATTATGATTTGCGCTGGGTGCGGGGATTCGGCGGCCGGGAGGGAGTCGTTGGCGCCGCGGCCGCTGCGGACGGACGCCTGCCTGCCGGCTGAGGTAGGGACAGGCGCGGAGTGCGGTCGGGCGCGGCGGCCTGGGATCGGGATGCGGGCTGGCCTCCGCCGCCTGGTAGCCTGCGCCGTGGCCGGGCTGGACGTCCGGGCCGGGGCGCCCGCCGCAGGCGGAAAGTAAGTTGCGCGCTCCGCGCTTCCCGCGCCGGCCGCAGCGCGGGCCCGGGAGGACGCGGAGCCCCGACTGCGGCGGCCCGAGCCCGCGCGGCGGCGGCGCGGCCTGGCGGCGGGGCGGCGGCGGGCCCGGCGGGAGCCGGCACTGCGGCGGCGGCCGGCCGCGGGCTCCCGGAGGCCCTGCCCTTGCGGCCGCGGCCGGATTGCGGCACCTCGGGAGGCGCCCGCATCCCGCGCCCCGCCCCGAGCGGGGCCGAGTGCGGCGCCGCGGGGCCCCGCGCCCCGGCCGGGCTCCCCGCGCCTGGGTTCTCTCGTGGGGTGTGTGTTCTCGGAATGGGTTTCCTTTTTCAAACGAATCTGGAAATGTGGCCGCGGCAAGGGGCTTCCTTGGTAAAACTGCAGGCTTACAATAGAATGGGGATATTGTTGTCTGTAGAGAAAGGGCATCGGGGTAAGGAAGGAGCAGCAGGGCCATTCCCAGGGGAGAGCTAGCATTATTATTATTATTATTATTATTATTATTATTATTATTTTCAAATTGGGAAACCTCCGTTCTTTTCCATAGTCATCGCCTGTTGATTTCTTTCTGGACCATTTTGCAAAAACCTTCCTGCCTTTAACTTGGACTTGGGATCTAGGAAAGTGACAGTCTTTTTTCCTGGGGGGAGGGGGCACAGTGGGGGGGGCGTTCTTGGAGCTGTGCTATTCCTAACGGTTGGATCAGATACAATCAGATAGGTTCGTGGGGAGATCGGTTTCACGCACAGTATTTGGGGAGAATTTAGCAGTAGGGTTCTCTATAGAGGTTTGAGGATATAGGACCTTTCAAATTGTTAGGTTACTTTTTTCCCTTTTTTAAAATTGAGTGCGTTCTCAAAGTCTTAGGAACGGGTGGTAAAGCCGATTTAATGCGTTTCACATTTTACCAGGTTTTAAGGTGAAGCATGGTTTACAGGTGATGGAACTGCAGATGTTGAGTATCCTGCTGAATTTTCACTAAATTTCTTTCAAACATCAGACCCTTCAATTCGGGTTCCTTGTACCCGGTTGGGACATGTATCTCAAATCCCTCTAATTTACCAGAATGTGCATCAGTGTGCTTTAAAGCCAGGGGCTGTCAAGGTTTATGTAATCAATTTATTAATTTATGATCTTGTTACATTGCTTTCCAGATTTATAAAACCGTTCCCTTAAGGAAATCTGTCTTCAACGTCTGCTTAAATATTTCTCTTGGAATTGGATTCCTGAGGAGGAATGCACTGTACAAGTGGTGATTTAAGCATACTAATTAGACAAGTGTCTGTAAAAAAAAAAAAAATACGAATGGATTCTTTTACCTATTTTATTGTCCCTATTTGGAAAATAGATGACATTCCCATTTTACAGAACTAGAAATGAAATTACGTGACATTCCCAAGGTCACATATTGAAGCAGTGTAGGAACTGAAAAATTAAGTGCACGGTGCTAACTTTCCTTACATCTTCAGGGTTTTCTGGGCACGGAGCTTTGAGTGTCACCTTTCTCTTTTCTAAATCTGCAGTTTTTATTTTATGCACAGAAATGGCTCTCACCCTATTAGTTTTTCACTATTAAGAGTATATTTTTCAGTATCACTGCAGTAAGATCCATTAGTGTAAAACATACAAGAACTCCGAAGTTATCCTAATTTTTCTTTTTCTAGAACAGAAGTACACACTGAACTTTATAGTCAAACTTAATCCCATAATCCTACAATGAAGGCTTTTTTATGTCCTTAATAAAGTTGAAGGGCTTTCATGATATTTTTACTGGTCATAGAAAATACTCTTCATCTAAGACTGTGGGTGTTTTTGT